ACTTTCTGGAAGAAGAAAACAGCACCAGAGAAGCTGAGCGGCTCACCTAGGATCACTCAGCAAGGCAAGGTCAGGGCCAGGTTTAGAACTTAGGTCTTCTCCTGCCAGATTTCCAATCAGCAAAGTGAAAATAGATATGCCAGCATCTGGGTTATATAGGCAACAAACCCATCTGGGTGTTTTAAGTGAAGAGGAATTAATTGCTTGCCTCTTTTTTACTCTTGGAGTCGGACGTGAGAAGTGCGCTCTAAACCAATGTATCATCGAGACAATCCTCTGCAGACACACTGAGGAGGGTTATCCATGGGCTCCTGGCACTTCCTTTAGCCCTAAAGAGTATTTTATTGGCCATTGATGACAAGTAGGAGTGGAAAGAAACCTCTCTATGAATAGCCATTTAGTTCTAAAGCCTGGCAAAACCACATGGGGGACAGGATGGGCCTTTGTCATTGGCTGTGCTGGAGAAGGAGCGGATTCAGGGAAGGAAGAGAGTTGCTATCACTGGTTTGTGTGTAGGAAATGGGGATGAGGGTGCACAGCCCTTACATAGACACAGGAGAACCTGCTGCACGTCTGAGCCACTCTGTCTTGACTTTTTGGGGAAGGCTGAGGTGGAACTGAGTTCCAAAGATTGCAATCACCAGCTTCTAAGGGCCAGCCTTCCAGAAGAGAGCCTGGTATTACCCTAGTCGCTTCCCTGGAGAGCCCTGGGGGAACCCTCATGATTTATATATTATTACCCATGGAAACTCTAGGAGCTATGGAAAGCAACTGTGGCCAGACGGCATTCTCCCTCCAAGCATCTTTAGCATGTGCTCCTATAGGACAGAAAATGGTATTTCTTGTCCACTGACGGAGAATCAATATAAAAGGAAGTTCCCTCTTTTGTCATATACCATCTCCCTACACCCCCTTCACTCGTGGCTACCATTGAGAGAGGGGGAGCAAACACTTCTATAGCACTTACGGTGTGTTAAAACAACCCATGAGGTAGGTTTTATTACTACCCCCATGTTACAAAAGAGGAAATGGAGACCCAGAGAGGTGAAGTAACTTGCGCAGGGACACATAATTGTACGTGGCACAGCCAGGATTCAATCCTGGACAGGCTGACTCCAGAGTCTGTGTTTTAATTCACTACCTGCCCTGCATTACCTGGCTCCGGTGTGCTTATGCATTTGGCTCCAGACTCTGGGAAAGCAATTACTTCCTTACTATAATGTCATTTCTTCCAGTACATAGAGAAGGAAGTATCAGTGAGTTCACAGATTTTCTTTATGGATAAGAGGAATTTTCAACAGGCAAGGGGAGATTAGTACCACTTCATAGCTCCATGGACAGCTCCACTGCTAACATTCAAAGGGCCTCACCATGCAGGGGTTGTGATCATTGGGTGACCAGCCCAGTCTCTTTCACCATCAGATGGCATCAGTGATGCTGGCTCTGGTGTGGTCAGTCTGAAGCATCATTGTCTCTGAGGTGGACAGTACACAAGTCAAGGAACCAGTTTTCATTTTGGTGCCGTCTCATTTTCCACCCCATCTGCAGGACTTGATCTGTCATAGACATTTGGGGCATAGACTATATATAACCAGTTATCTACCTTCAAAGTGGTTGTATTCGCCAGAAGGAACCAGCCCAACCTGTAGTCAACAGAGACACGTATAAATCAATACAAATGCCTATAAATGCAACAGAGTCATCATAAATGATGATGGGTATAAATAAATGATGTTTAGAGTACTTTAAGGGGGTGAGATTGAGTAGGTTGGGATTCTGTTGGTATTGGGAAGAAGGCATGGGATTAATGAAGGAGTTTATTGGAGCAAATTCAAAGATAAAAAGGAGAGGGAGACGTGGTACAGCTGCCATTTGAAAGAAGGAGAGCATGGCATCCCTATGGCACAGTTGGCGAATGAGCACCAGAGAAATTGAAGCCATCACCAGTGATTTGAGCAAGGCGCTTAATCTCCGTGGGTCGCAGTTCTTCCATCTGTCAATATGGAGAACTGGGTACTGAAATCAAGAGAACGTAGTGAAGCATTTTGAGTTCTTCAGAAGAAGAGCATCACCGTCATATATCCTTTGGGTTAAGGAAAATCTATTACTAGGAAGAAATGCCTGTGGCATGTGACACCTGATTTGCCCCAAGCACCAGTACTCAGATGTCTTTGGGGAAGGAAGCAATCAAAAGCATCTGCATAGAAAAAAAAAAAAAAAGGTAGGCGGTCAGAGCCTTACAAGTAACATACTTCTCTTTGGCATCAGAAAAACAGCTTGGGCTCAGCCCAAGCCTAGGCTGTGCGAGCTCAGACCCAAATCTCAAATGACTGCCCATTCCTTGCTCTTCTGGTTGGCGTCAGTCAATCACAAGTGGAATCAGATGTTGCCTTGCCAACGTGACTGATATGTTTCCAATGGAGCTCTGTTTATGTCTTGATCCTTGTTTGTGTGATGTTCTATGTTTTATAACTTGAGTCTCCAGGAATTTTTCCCATGGCTGTGCATCATTTCTTATCACCCATAACCAAATATGGCAGCTTTAAATAGTGCTGTCATTTTCCTCAATTTCACTTGTTGTGATATAATCAGGTATAGATTTCTGACATTGAGCATCTAATGGGGTTTCAGATTCAGAAAGCTACAATGAAAGATTTTTTTCTCTTGGATATCTCTCAACTGGGAGACACAGAGTGAAATAGTCATGAGCGACAGGCGTAGAATTCATGTCCGTTTGCCCAGAGAAGCTCTGGGGGATAGAAGGACCCCAGGAGTGGCCCATGCTAGTGATTTCTGCTGCAGAAGTTGTATATGCATCATGAGGGCCTTCTTCCCCCTTCTGGACTCACTCTGTGTCTTCCTTTGTCTGCCACTGGCTCTTAGGATGAAGACAAAAACATGGTTAGCCCGTGATGGACACAAGAATGACTAACTCGGGACTCTCATTCTGCTGCTCTTGAGTCCTTCTTCCTGTTAGAGAATTTACATAGTGATAGGACCAGACATACTTAAAGGGCCCACTCCCCATTTCTCTCCTGTTCCCTTGCTTACTGGGCTTTGTCCCTCAAGTTGTTTTATTTTCCCAGTCAATCGCCTGAGTGTTCTGTGCAGCTCAAGCATGAATGCACATGAGGCAGAGTACTTGCAATTGGTATCAAAGGGCAGTTCCCTGGTCTCAGCCTTATTGGGAGAGAAAACCAGTTTCAGACAGACCACCCAAGGGGTCACTGTCACACTGATGAAGGGCCCAAGAACAGGTGCCCCACTGGCAGAGGATAAGCTTTGACTTCTTCACTCTGTACCCTCCGGACTGTGTCCCCAAATGGGAGTGCAAAAACTGTACTCCCAAGTGCTTTGGGAATTTGCCTACTGGCTTTCTGGGAAGGGATGGAAAGCCCACCAGAAGAGAAGTCGAAAATCACCCACGACTGGAGCCGTTCGAATACAAGGGGACCATGCAGCGTTGTCTCCCCCGCTCCTTAGATGCTGCACTGGGACAGCTATTGTTACCTAGAGTTTCTCAGCATGGGCTCCACGGTCTGGCTGTCCTTGGATAACGAAAGCCCAGAAAGCTGGTTGAGATCAGTACTGGCATAGGCAGCTGCCCTTTGTGTTTCTGGGGACCCCAGTGTAAAAGTGACATATACCTTGTTAGTGACAGTAGGCTGTGCCGTGACTCATATATACTTGAGCTCGAAAGTTTACATGTTTGTAGAACCCCTGAGCTTAATACTGATTTTCTGCCCTATCCATGGACTTCCTAGATTCCTGGAATCATAAAATCATATCATTTTCAATTTAGAATGGTCTTTAGGGAGCATCTAGTCCAGCGGTTTCATAGTAAATGGAAGAAGTAAGCCTGATGCAAGACCAAGGCAGCCGTGGGGAGCTGCAGAGAGGGGCCCTGTCTTGACTGCGCAGCCGCCACTCAGCTCCAGCTGGTTGAGAATTAGGCCCAGTGTTGCCAGATCGCCCATTTTTTAAGCCAGAAATCTGGATTTTTATGTGAAATCTCCCAATCATTTAATGTTGGCAATTAATCAAAATGGGTAAAGCACTGCTGGTAAACAAACAAGTTGTCTGTGGGCTGCAGGTCACCAGGGTGTCACCTTTGATCTAGTCCAGCTCCACCGGAGGCCGAAGGGGGGTGTGCACTTGCCGGAGACCACACAGCTGAAGACTGGGACCAGGTTCTGGAACTCCTTCTCATTCTATCTCACTTTCCTACAGAAAATGCCCTGGAGCTTGGTCCTCAGCTCTCTGTTCCTGGCTCCATCCTTTGGCTCCCATGACTCTAGTCAAGCATGTCCCTGTGCTGGGGACAAACATTTTCCCCACAGCATCATGGTACAAGCCCTGGGCTTTGTGTCAGGAAGCGTGCATTTGAGTCCCAGCTCTTCCACTGATTAGCCCTATAACCTTGGACACATCTCTCGAGTGCCCTGGGCTTTGATTTCTTCCCTAATACAATAAAAATAAGAATCTGGGCCTCACAGCACCGGTTTGAGAAGGTCTCACTGTGCATGAGATCACACTGCAAACAAATAAACCAAGGATGCCTGTCCTATTAGCATCCTCACGAGAAAGAGGCTGAGTGTCTGAGTGGGGGGCTGGCGTTCCATCCACCACCGCAGACATCAACAGTTCAAAGGTGCTTCAGAGCCCAAACACACTGCCCCTGGAGGATGTGGGGACAGCACATAAGGGGCACTGAGGGCTGTTCTGCTTGCCCAGCACAGAGCCTCCTTCATCCTAGGAAGTAACGAGGGCCCCCGGCTGTTCTTTTGTTTCATCTTCTGAGATCAGGGCTGGGTAAGTGTTTCAGAGCAGCCCCCTCTACACCTTCAGCCCTGTGTCATTTAAACCTATCACCCATAACCCGAGGCAATGCAATCTGGGGCCAGACCCAGGTCACCATCCCCTCTGCCCTGCCCTGCCCTTCCCAAGGGTTGTGCTGACTGAATGTAGACGGTGAATCTTGTTTTTATTTCCATTTCCAGGGCCGCAGACCCGGCTATTTCTCCTTCCTGGACCCTTTTTCTCCTGGCGTCTGGCTCTTCATGCTTCTAGCCTATCTGGCCGTCAGCTGTGTCCTCTTCCTAGTGGCTCGGTACTCTCCTCTCCCCTTCCCTGTCCTCACACCGCCACCTCGTGTCCACCTCTGGGAACTGCATGGGAGGGGGTGGGGAGCCGCAGAACGGTGGGTTGAGAAGCCCTTGGTGCCAAACCAGAGGGACGGGAGAGGGACTCAGGACCTGAACCACTCTGCCCAGCTGTGGACCTGGCACTGCCCATCCATCCGTCTTTGCCCACATCCCCTACTATGCGCAGAGAAGACAGGCGAGCTTGTCCGCATTTGCTTCTGCGCCCCTGCCTCTTGCCCCTCTCGTTCCCCAGTCTCCAGCCCGCCTGCCTGTGTAGGAGCTTTGGGAGAGAGAGGAGGGGAGGAAGGTGGCAGGAAGATCACTCCGATTAAGTTCCGAGCCTTTGGCAGCCTGGGCATCCGTCCTTGCCAGGATCTGCTACAAAGTGCTGAATGACAAGAAGCAGAGCCTGCAAATCTGGAGTGGGGGACTGGAGGCCTCCTCTGCAGAGGGCCTGGCCCTTCCCCAGCCCGAGTCTGTCTGTGAAAGCACAGCTGCCTTGTTGAATGGGGACTGTGGAGGGCGGCTGGCAGCGGGGGGGGCAGGACAGAGAGAAGCATTGGCAAGCAGTGCTGAGTTGAGACACATGGTCCAGATCAGGGGTTGGGGAGAGAAGCAGCGCCCCCGCCCCCGCCCCCGGAAACCAGAGACTGTCCCTGGGCCTACAGAAGAAGCCGAGGAGCATCCCAGCAAGAGGCACAGAGAGGGTTGTTTCTCTCTGAGGCTCAGTTGGACCAGCCTGGGCTTCAGGAGAGCCAGCTGACCCTCCAGAAGCAGAACAAGCTCTTGTGGCTCAGGGTCGTTCACTCAGATCCCCGATTCCCAGCCTGCCCGAGAGGCATTGAATCACTCAGTCTGAGCCTCTTCCAGTGGAGATCAAAGCCAAGTTCAGGAAGTTCTCCCTGGCCCATGAGATCCAACCAAACAGGGAAAGGCCTTGCTTACAACCTGGTCGTCTTCAAAGGCTGCTGATGCTTTGGCACTCGGGCGCCACCGCCCCCCACCCCGGGCCTGTAGGCATTGCCACTGTCAAGTATCTGTCGTCCGTGTCGACTGGCGAGGCTTCCCCTCTGTACTTGGCCGCACTGCCTGCGGCTGCTCAAACGAAACTGTCTGCCTGAGTCCTGTCTCCGCTGCCCTGCAGTTCGCTCTTGCTCCCTTTGATTGAGCCCCTGTGTGTAGTAAGCCATGGCTCTCAGGTGACCTCGGAGGCCTGCAAATGGTCTTAGGGCTTGGTTACCAGACACACACACACACACACACACACACACACACACACACACACACGGCTGCTTCACCACGCCTGCCACAGCCTGAAGCTTTTCAATCAGCCCTGGGGGCTTAAACAGCCCCTCTTCTCTGCCCTACACATACACACAAACACACACACACACAAACACACACACACATGCACACACTGCCCCCTAGGATCCAGAATTAACAAAAAGATTAACCAAGAAGAAACTGTACAAAAGGTCTGATCATACATCCTATATATACATATATCTATAATATCCTATATACATAATATCTGAGCGTAGGGTAATCTGGCCCAAGGTAGTGGCTTTCAGACAGGGTTCCCCGAGCGTGGAGGCTCCTGGAAGTTTACAGAGACGTGGAGGGGCGATGTGAAGAGGCTGGACAGCCAGAGCTCTGGGACCTCAGCCCGTCTTCATTCAGACCAGCTCCACTTTTCTCTTATATATTGTACTTCCGGGTAAGATTTTAGAGGTGAAAAGATATTTGAAAACCACTGCTCTAAGGCAGCCGTTCCCAAGCCAGCTGATACCACAGTCACACAGGGAGCTTTAAAAAACTTGAATTTCTATGTCTGATCGTCTCCAAATCTCTAGGGATGGGGCCTGGAAATCTGTATTTTTGGAGCTCACTTCCAATGGCCCGTAGGCTTGGGAACCACCGAGGTGAGGCACCACGGGCACAAGCCAGCCCCGCAGGCCACGAAGAGAAGGGGCACATCTTGGGGCAGGGGCCAGTGACGGCACATTGGCCTCGTATTCGGGAACAGGCGGCAGCAATGGGAATGTGGGCCAGCCCTGCAGCACGGCACATGCGCACTAGGCTGAAGGGAAGGCCGGGGATGATGGTAACGCCCTGTGAAGAGGCAGACCTGCCCTGCTCTGCTCAGCACACGCCCAGACGCGTCTCTCACATCAGAGCTGGAAGGCTTTGTGTGGGAGACAGGCTGGGGCGGAAGAGGGAGAGCATGTGTCTGGTGGGCAGGAAGAAAGGGCATTAGAGGTACCGCTGGGAGAGAGAGGCCAGCGTGAGGCTGCGAGCGACAGCGGGGGGGAGCGCCACCCTTCTCAACCCCGTGTGCCCATCATGCTCAGCTGGGGAGCCCTAAAAATGCTGATATCCAGGCCTTACCTGGACAAATTAAATCAGAACCTCTGGGTGTGGAATCCAGGTATTGGCATTATTTCAGAAGTTCCCAGAGCTTCCCTGGTGGCGCAGTGGTTGAGTCCGCCTGCCGATGCAGGGGACACGGGTTCGTGCCCCGGTCCGGGAAGACCCCACATGCTGCAGAGCGGCTGGGCCTGTGAGCCATGGCCTCTGTGCCTGTGCGTCCAGAGCCTGTGCTCCGCAACGGGAGAGGCCACAACAGTGAGAGGCCCGCGTACCGCAAAAAAAAAAAAAAAAAAGCTCCCAGGTGAGTCTGAAACACAGACAGGGTTGAGAACCAGGGCCTGAGCCTGAGGGACCATCTGGGCCAGTGGTTCACAAAGTGTGGTCCCTGGACCAGTGCATCCACATCAGCTAGGCACTTGCAGGTTCTAGGCCTCAACCCAATGCGCCAAATCAGACGCTTTTGCCGCCATCTGTGCTCTCCCAAGCCCTCTTGGTGATTCTGATGTCAGTTAAAGTTTGAGAATTACTACTCTAGGCCGACGGCTTTCAAGCCATGGCTCCGTGGGGCTGTAGGGTCTCTCTCTGGTCACTTTGGGGAACTGAAGGAGGCAGAACAAGCAATTCCCAGCCGTCTATTCTGTGACTTGATTTATTTTGAAAAAACTAAGATGTTTCTTTGATTAAAGAAAAACAGTTCCCAAACTGCCAACATAGTCCAACTTTCTCATTTTTCAGGGGGAACACCCAAGTCCCTTAGAGGGGAGGGGCTTAGCCAAGGCCACAGGCCAGCTACCAAGGTCTCGGGGCGAGGCCAGGCAGGGGAGCGCCCTCACACCCTCAGCACCCCTTCCTTCACGCCCATCCTCCGCAGCACTGGTATGTGTCCCTTTCTTTCACAGGTTGACGCCCTACGAGTGGTACACACCCCACCCGTGTGCCCAGGGCCGGTGCAACCTCCTGGTGAATCAGTACTCCCTCGGCAACAGCCTCTGGTTCCCGGTCGGGGGCTTCATGCAGCAGGGCTCCACCATCGCGCCTCGCGCCTTATCCACCCGCTGCGTCAGTGGCGTCTGGTAAGATCCTGGGTCCTCCGATGAGCCCTGATCCAGCTTCCGGTAGGCAGGAACCTCAGCTCTGCCCTAGGACAGCCTCTGCCAGCACAGAGGGTTTGGGGGCAGTGGCTGGGTGCGCTTTGTGCCATCTTTTCTCCTTCTCTGTTCTCTGCCTTGGAGGTCTAGATGCAGAGGGGAGCTAAGGCAGGAAAGGAGACCGAGTGAGAAAATGCCTTGACGGCCCACAGCAAAGCAGTTATAACTTCCTGACCTGAAAACGACCAGAGGTTGAGAGGCAGGGCCTGTGAACACATATGCAGATTTATGCAAATGTAAGCATGTAGCAGGAAGTCCCTGCAGGAGAAATCCAAGCCCACGCCCCCTCCAGCAGCTTTCTGGAGCTTTGCCCCTCTGCACCTGGCTCTGGGGGCCCGCCAGACCCATCCACCTTAGCAGGTGTGGGAAAACGCAAGCTGTTAGTAGCTCGGAGTTGGACAGGACCTCAGGGAGCAAGTTGCCATCGTGGTCTACACGGACAGTCAGCCAGCCTCTTCCTGGAGCTCCCTTCTCCTCTTGGCAGGGCAAAAGGAACATGGTGGAATGATTTGATGTGTGGGAAAGTTCTCTGAAAATTTGGAAGTGCTACATAAATCATTGCTATTAGGCCACTATGGGGGGAAATGAAATACCGATGTAGTGTTGAAAGGCAAGTTTCCCATCCTCACTTAAAAACCCACTGTCAGGTTTGGTGTCACAGCTTATAGGACTTACAACCTTCATTCGCTCCTCTCCTTCTCAGCCCGTGTAAGCCAGAGGAAAAGGAAAGGGGCATGGGTGCTGGGGACAGTGTGGTATCTGGACAGTTACCTAGGAGCCACTGGACTGGGGCTGATGGGCAGGTGGAAGCACAGCTGGGACTGATACAGTAGGATTTAAACCCTTGGGGCAAGGTGTTCACCCATTATCAGGTTGTGCCCAGGAGTCACTGAGCGGATCACTGTGGAGAGCTGGGTCTCACGTTCCCTGGCAGAAAGGATGGTCTTGTCAGGCACAGCCACAGAGCTCCCTCAAAATCCAGGAAATCTGGGCAGAAACCCATAGATGAGAAGTCAGCGGCAGATTCTGATCCCTTTCTGCTTGGGCTTTCCCTTCCAGAGGTGCTTGTTCCCATGTGCTGCACGCAGGGCTCCATTGCCTGCTGCCTTCACCTGTCAGCTCCCACCCCGAGGAATTCCCTCCTCCAGCGAAAGTCTGCCCCGGTGCTGAGGGGAACCACCTGTCCTGCAGGCTGTTGGCTCAGCCCACTGGCTCAGCAGTGCTTTAAAGAGCTGGCCCCAGGTGGCTCAGTTACGCTGCGCCAGAGCATCTGTGGAAGGGAGGCTCCGCCCTTCCCAGCCCGACCCAGGGGTGTTGGTGCGCCCCTCTGCCTCTTGGAATTCTTGGTTATAAAATCAGGGCCTCAGTTAGGTTGGCTCCCTGGGGAGTGGGAGGTCAGAAAACAGGGCCATCGTGGCCTACCGTGGCACCCTCACCCAGAGCAAGCAACGGAAAATGCCCCGTTGCCGAGAATGCCAGCTTCACAGTGATAATGCCCCTTTCACCCAGGAGCAAGTCTCCACTGGCCCCTCTGGAGGGAGAGTGGGCATGATTTGCTTTGTCAGCAAAGGTGACGGGCTTGCAATGAGCTACTTACTCTCTCTGACCCGTCCTTTGTGACCAGTGGCAAAAGCAGCCACATGGCTGCCCAGGGCGGAACGGATGCCAGAGTGTAGCCATGGGGCTGGGGGAAGCTCCCCAGCCAGCTCTGAGGTCATGTCCACACCCAGGGCTCACTAACCCACAACAACGTGGCAGAGCAGCTTCCGAATGCACGCCTCCACCTGGGGACCACTCACCACCACCACCCCAGCCTCCTCTGGGGGGAGCTCATGAGAAACAACTTCCAAGAGAGTGTAAGAGCCCAGGCAGGAGCAAGGAGAACAGGTTTTGCAGATGGAGGGACTCCTGGCCCTTACAGGTCACAAGTAGGAAAGGTGGACAAATGATTTTCATTGCATCTCTACATGTCTCTGTATCTCACACTCATCTCATCCTTTACAGATTATTAGTCACTAATGACATATTATCTCACCTGATCTCACAACACTCCAAAGACAGGTGGACCAGACATTAGTATCCCCCGTTTATTAGACAAGCAAACGAGCTCAGAGGAAGTGTGTGGCTTTTCCCCAAGGTCTCACAGGTGGAACGGGACAAAGCCAGAACTAAAACCAGATCCCTTACTGGTGATCTGGCGCGTGTGGATGCGCCCATCAAGTTGAGGGATGCCCCTGTTCCTTCACTCCTGGGAGGCAGCCTGAAGGAATTCTTGGACACATGGCACAGGGGACAATGGGACTTCCTGCTCTTGGAAATCCACCTGGAAGCTGCCGGCTGCTGCAGCCCCTGGCAAACACTGTGCCTTGGTTGGCAATGTCTTCATACTGAGTGAAGCCTCATTAATTCAGACTCCACTGGTTCAGAATTTGGCGATTATCCAGCCTCAGTTGTGCTTACATATATCTTTGAACCCCTATAAACAAATGGATCAGGAAGCAGATCCACACTGCTGACCAGATGGTAGAAGTCTTGTTTAACCTACTTAAGTGAGCAAATTGGTTTTAATGACTTTAGCATGTATGCTGCCTGAGTTGCAAAACTATTCTAATTTTAAATAAGTCCGATCTGCCCAATAAAACAACCTTCCATTCTGAAATAGCACGACCATTGTAAAAGCATTTTTTTTTTCCGGTACGTGGGCCTCTCACTGTTGCGGCCCCTCCCGCCGCGGAGCACAGGCTCCGGACGCGCAGGCCCAGTGGCCATGGCTCACGGGCCCAGCCACTCCGCGGCATGTGGGATCCTCCCGGAGCGGGGCACGAACCCGTGTCCCCCGCATCGGCAGGCGGACTCCCAACCACTGCGCCACCAGGGAAGCCCTAAAAGCATTTTCTAATTCCAACTTCTCAGCAGTCCGAAGGTGCTTTTCACCAGTTCATCTTGAAGAGTTTCTGCTGTTACAATTTGTAGAACCGGTTCTAGAATACAAATTTCTCAGGCACTTGGCCACGTGACTTTGCTTCTCTGAGCCTCGGTTTTCTCTTCTGTAAAATCAGGATAAGATTTTCACCTCCCTGAGTTGTAGGGAGTACAGGAGATAGTGGGTGTGGCTCACAGTAGGTGCTCAGTCCATGGCGATGCTGCTCTGAATGTCGGCTGCATCATGACGGGGCTGCGGGAGGCGTCCCAGGTCTAGCTCTGAACAGAGCCTCCAGGGCTGGCACCCTTAGCTCATTCACTAGCTCATTACTCACCATCTCTCAAGCTGTCTCATGTTCATGGACACACTTCTTCTGAGTAGAAACCCAGTAATCACCTCCTCTAGGAAATAAGAGAAAGAAAACCACTGTCTTCTTCTAGGCCACCCTCCCAAGCCGTTCGTTTCTGTTGACATCAAATGCCCTGCCTCCTCTCTCTTCCCCCACTAGGCCCCTCAGAAGAGGGCCACCTGGTCTCTCCCGTGTCGCAGCAGGACTGGGGATGGGGTTTAAGACTCCTGGGCTGCCCCGGCAATGATGACGTCTCGGTCTTTTCCTACCTAGGTGGGCATTCACGCTGATCATCATCTCATCCTACACGGCCAACCTGGCAGCCTTCCTGACCGTGCAGCGCATGGATGTGCCCATCGAGTCAGTGGACGACCTGGCGGACCAGACCGCCATCGAGTATGGCACGATTCACGGAGGCTCCAGCATGACCTTCTTCCAAGTAAACCCACATGGTTGCTCACCAACGTCAGGAATCGGGCAGGATAAAGTGGAGATGTTTGTCCACTGGAGATAAAAACATCTTGCCTCATCCCATCATCCCTTTTGAACACCTCGTTTGGAGGTTCTCCTGGGGCTCATTTTTCCCCTGCTCCCCCAAATACCCATGGAACCAGGTCCCCAAAGCACTTGGGTTAATATCAGCCTTGTCCCAAAGTGTTATACATGAACGGTTAGTGCTCCTTGAGACGATTTTAGTGGTAGAACTATTTTTTAATTGCAGTGGTTTCATATTTATTGTAATGAGTGTTAGAAAAAAATATGCAGTGACTCTAACCTGTACTTTTATTTCTATTTCTGCACAAGATGAGGCTAACGTAGGCATTTAAATTTTTTAAGTAGGCTACATTTTATAAGTAGTGCTTAGACAAAGCAAGATTGGAGTAATGCACAAATGACTTAACATGTAAGGAAATTTAGATTAAGCCCAGCTGGTTTCATTGATCCCAGACTAGATAGATCTCAGATCAGGACCCTTTTGGCTTCTCCGAGGTTCCCTTGCAAGGCTCAGGAGCCGGCCCTGCCACCATGGTGTGTCAGCTGGCAGGCTACCAAGGCAGGCAGAGCCGAGCCAGACCTAGGAGTAGTTTGCATTCGCTTCAGGCTCTCCAGGGAAGCAGATTCCCCTGGAGTCAGTGAGTGTCTATCCAACCTGTGACCCAAGAAGTTCATTATCACACTAAACGAGTCCAAGGCCTTCAGTTTTCTGTTTCCCATACAAGTCTCCGGGGTACTGGCACAGGGACCAGTGAAGACATCATGCAGACACAGGGTTTGGCTAGACCCCCAGAATTCTCTCAGTCTTGTTATTATTTGTAAACTAGAAGCCAACATTGGATATGTGATTGACGGATTAGTTTAGGGTTGATAGAGAAGAGCCGGCACTGCTCCTTCAGATGACGTCTCTTAAAAGTCCAGAATGAACCTGAGTTTGCTGCCTCTGCGCTGAAGGACAGTAGAGGACACAGCCAGAATTTCCATTCTCACTTTGGTCAGAACATGGAGGTTGGCCATGGAAGATGGGTGGATGAAGCAGAACCAATGATCGAAGCAGTAGGCAGAGTTTACACACCTTCAGACCCTGTTCCTTCTTTATCTTTGTAAAAGGTATCAGAGGCACAACGCTCTCCTCCTGCCATTCAGCAGTGACGTTGTGAGATGAAAGGGAACAGGTTCTTGAGTATAAGGAGGGGACTGGGGAGCAGAAGGGCCAGAATTTTAGGGGCCACTTGGATGCCCTCCCTTTCCAGGCCACCATCTCCTTTCTCTTTCCTCAACCTGCTTCCTTGCGTTCTTTCCCCAGAATTCCCGCTATCAGACCTACCAGCGCATGTGGAATTACATGTACTCCAAGCAGCCCAGTGTGTTCGTGAAGAGCACGGAGGAGGGGATCGCCAGGGTGTTGAATTCCAACTACGCCTTCCTTCTGGAATCCACCATGAATGAGTACTATCGGCAGCGCAACTGCAACCTCACTCAGATTGGGGGCCTGCTGGACACCAAGGGCTATGGGATTGGCATGCCAGTCGGTATGCAGGAGAGGAACAGCCTCTTCGGGTAGCTCCACCCAGGCAGGCTCAGGGTAGCTCAAACCGTCGAATGCAGCCTTGAAGTCAACAGCCCCTGTTTCTAGAACCAGGTTCACAGTGACTTGAGATGGGCATTCTTAAGGTTTTTAAAAAAAGCCAATCCACATCCTTCCAAGTCATCAGGGATTAGTACCCAGTCCTTAATTATGGAAGGGCTAATTGATTAGTTATTAATAGATTAATTATTAAAGGGCACATGGATGCCCTTGGTGTATTCTTTTTTTTTTTTTTTTTTTTGCCACACCACACAGCTAGCTTGTGAGATCTGAGTTCCCCAACCAGGGATTGAACCCAGGCCCTGGGCAGTGAAAGCATCGAGTCCTGCCCTTTGGCCATTTCTCTGATGTCCGACATCTCTACTAGCAGTGGAAAGGAGATGGAAGAGATGGTAGGACTCAAGTGAATTAATTTTGCTATTAGTGTCCCTGGTGACAGGTTTACTGTGAAAGGGGACTGATGTGATCGGAGGAGATGGCTTTCACATCATCTGTGGATCTCACTGGTCCATCTGCTCTGGGTCAGAGCAGGTAGCTGAGAGTGGGGCTCTGGCATTCCCCTTGCTGACCGTGCCGTCGGTTTGTTATAGGAAGGTAGAGATGCTTGGCTTCCAGAAGGGTATCCCAGCTGTGCCTTGTAATGAATATCCCTGCTTTAGGCCTTCCCCTGCTGATGGTTCCTCTATCAGAAGGTGAGGGGGAGCACGTGTGTGACTTTGTGACTGTGGAGGAGGTCTGGAAGTGTCCCCCAGTGTTTCAGACATGTACCCTTCCCACACACACCGTGGAGAGCCACATTGTATAGGGCTGTCCTTTTCCAAGTCTGCCCTCATGCAAGGTTGTCCTGCAACCAAGCAGCCGGGGAAGAAGCAGGAATGGAGGAAATCATCTCATGTGGGGAAATTGGTGCACAGGATGTGCACCTTTGTTGGTATGTTACACACCACTTCTCTCCCTTTTGATTTTTCAAAGTGTAGTTGATTTACAATGTTGTGTTAGTTTCAGGTGTAAGTTAGTTTCAGGAAAGTGTTTCAGGTATATATCTATTCTTTTTCAGATTCTTTTCCCTTACAGGTTATTACAAAATATTGAGTATAGTCCCCTGTGCTAGACAGTAGGTCCTTGTTGGTTATCTATTGTATATATAGTAGTGTCACACCCCTTCTCTTGATCGGTACCTAACTCAGAGCTCTATAAATTATAGGCCTCCCTTATACCTGTGTCATGTGAAGGGCATGGGATGGAGTCAGGCAGATCTGGGAATGCACCCTGCTTCCTGGCTGTGGGGCCTTGGATAGGTTAGTTAACCTCTCAGAGTCTCAATGATTGCATTTTTAAATTCAGGTTTCTAATATGTACCTCAGAGGGTTGTTACAAAGGTTAAACTGAATAATCTGGCCTCACCACAGTGTTTCATCACGCTTAGCCTGTTCGGGGGAACATTAGTGCCCTCCCCACATTTTCCAATGTTCCCTCTGTTATTTGATAAAAGCAGATGACTTCTTCAAGACTGATCAGAAACCAAGCCCATGAATATAGGCAATAATATGGTTCACGCTTGAACTCTGTCATTTCTGACCCTAGTAGTTCTGTAAACCGGAAGCCTCACTCAGGGCACCTGCATACCCTCCCCTTAGCATCATATTTCATTGATTTCATTAATAATACAGATTATGGGCCCCTTTGAGACATTTACTGGTTGACGTTGTGTTTCAAGATGGTGGAGGGAAGCACAAAATGAACCTAAGGTGCACCTGGAAATACTCTAGCAATTTAATCAATTTAACTGAACTGTCAAGTGCTTCAAAAGTTTTCAGGGCACAAACCTGTAGAGTTGGCATAAAGCAGACTGACTCTAGAAATTCTCATCAGTAACCAAGGAAAAGGGGAGGCAAATGCATTGGTTCTGTGTCTGAGGTGATGCTGTTTCCATATGTGTTATCTTAGTCTTATCCCACCTGCAGGGGAGATGTGGTTCTTCCCATTCTAGAGGAGAGAACTGAGATTCAGAGCTGATAAGTTACTTGTCCAAGGTCACAGAATAAGTGGAGAGAAAAGCTGTGCTTGAGCCTAGGGGGCCTATCTCCAAATCCAGCATTTCACCTCTCAGACCGTGTTGCCAAACGGGTCCACCAGCTCGACAGGACAGGATAGATGGGGAAGGTGAGCTATGGGTTAGCCCAGGTTCTTAGATCAGGCTGGGGAGAGCATTGCATAGTCGATTGATGGGACAGAATTTAGGTCCAGGAAAGATGAGCATGTGTGTCCTTCTTAAGTGGAAAGTAAGGGTGTAACTATGGAATAAGCAGTGTGGTTAGACCCAGGAAGATGACGAGAAACAGAACAAGGAATGAGATGGAAAATTAGTCGGCTAGTTTAGGAGCTAAGTGGGCAAACATGGAGTAAGCAGAATAATCCTTTCATGGGGCCCTTGGTGTGCTATTGAGATTGGGTTGAAGATGCCTCGAAAACTGCTTGAAATGCCTTGTTGGCTGGATACTTGTCTCTAAACCTGGAATAGTCATTAGTCTCACCACCTAACACCATCTGTTAGGTCCAGTAGCCATTCACTTCAAATGTGTGTTAAGCACCTGCTATATAATATATGAGGTGCTGTTGGCATTCACCCAGATCACGTTCAGCGCTGCAGGCCTGGGGTTTGAATGCCCAAGGGTAGTTGCATCTGTAGCAGGGAAGGTTCTATCTATGGAGTCATGGGCTGTTAGAGTGCTAAGAGATCTGGGAGCTGATCTAGTTCCTTACCTGTCAAAGTGCAGCCCATGGCCCAGCGGCAGGGCATCGCCTTGGAACTTGTGAGAAATGCAAAATCTCAGCCCCCACCCCCAGACCCACTGAACTAGAGTCTGCAGGTCGACAAGATCCCGGGGGGATTCCTGTGTGCATGAAAGTTTGAGAGCAGGAATCTATTTGTTCCAGCTTTTGCCTGTATCCTGAAACAAAGCCCTTTTCCCTGGGGCGTCTGTCCACATCAGGCCTTTACAGAGCTTGGACAAGAAAACTGAACAGCTTAGTTCATTTCCAGCCTCCTAGCAGCTTTTTCTTAATGATTTTTCTTAATAATTTCAGGCCTTAGCCTGTGCTGGGGCATCGAGCTTTCCACGGTTTCATTTAAGCCTGTTTTTGTGATTAAACCTACATTCCAGAACCAAAGCTCCTTGACCATACCCCATACGAAAAATTTTAAAAGAATTGCACTCAACAGAGCCTTCTGTCTGAGGAGGGAGAGAGGAGCGATGTAAACGGAGTAGTGGACGGGGCCAGGGGTTCTGGGGCACCCAGCAGGCAGCTGTGCGGGAAAGGGGGTGCCCCAGACCGATTCTCCACACAGATGGAAGAGAGGAAGCTTCCACCTCGCTCCGGGTGGCCCTTTTCTCATTGGTGGCCGCTCCGGGTAAACAGTTGTCGGGTGTAATGTAGTGAGAGTTACAAATGGCAGAGAAACTAATTTCAATAAAGTAGAAAATAGGCAACTGATTGCGAGGTTTGTGTCACGAAGATTTCCCTCCTCGGCCTCCCAGGGGCAGGCGGACCGGGAGCTTTGCAACCAGCTTCCCGCGTGTTGGTGGGGAAGTGGGTTCACCCAGGTAGAAAGTGCTGGCGCCTGGGTGGGGAGGTGGGCAGCACAGCTGCCCGGAAGGCTGTCACTTGACCCATGCTGGGGTCTTGGCCGTGGACTGGGCGTGCCAGTCAGCGTGGAGAGAAGGAAAGTGGAAACGCCTGGTGCCCTGCATGGCGCGGAGAGTCCTCAGTCTGAGCCAGTAGAGAGCTGTGCTCCTGCGGGGGGACCCCTGTCCCTCCCCTCCTATGTTATGTGGGCAGGGTGGCAGGGAGGTTTGCCGGGGAGGGAGCAGAGAGATGCAGACGGGGGCGCTCATGTCCTGTGTTCTGGGCTCTCCTGTGACCCACAGGCTCCGTCTTCCGGGACGAGTTTGATCTGGCCATTCTCCAGTTGCAGGAGAACAACCGTCTGGAAATTCTGAAGCGCAAGTGGTGGGAAGGGGGCAAGTGCCCCAAGGAGGAAGACCACAGAGCCAAAGGTAAGGGTGTCCAGGGCCTCCCCTCCTGCCTGGAGGACCAGAGCTGCTCGTGTGGCGTCCAAATTCCAAGTAACGCCAGGTTGAGAACAAGCCTCGGAAGGAGCTGAAGGCCGGGCTGGGACTGGCTGGGCTCATCCCCGTCCCAGGGTCTTGGGCTTACTGTGTGGCATCCGCTCCCGCCCGCTCCCGAGTCCTAGAGATGCCACCCCTGCCATGCTGCCCGAGTCCAGCCACTTCTGCGCCAGCACCACCTCTTCCCATGGCCCAGGCCACCAGCACCCCACAGTCATACGATTACAACAGCCTGGGCTCCTTTTCCCATGCTGGCGCCTCTGCACCGTTCTCTCCACCAGAAGCCAGGGTGATTCTTTGTAAGACGCACGTAAGGTCGCAGCCTTGGCCTGCGCAAACCTTCCAATGGCTTCCCGTCTTACTCAGAATCAAATGAGCTTTCTATGGCCTCCCGGCCCTTCCTGATCTGTTTCCCCCTTTTCTTCCTGTTCCCCAAGCCTCCCAGCCCCCTCCCACCTCGGGGTCTGCACACTGTTCCCTCAGAAGGTCCCTCAGAGAGGCCTTCCCTCCCCACGCCACACATCTCTCCCCTTCCCTTGGGCTCTGCTTTTCAGAGCTTATCACTACCTGATAGTATAGTTTCTATTCATTTGTTTACTTTCTGCCTTTTTGACTAGAATGTAAGTTCCATGAGGGCAGGGTTTGTCTTCCTTACAGGGCTGTCCACAGGGCCTGGCACATGGATATTTTATTGAATGAATGATAAATACGGCTGGATAGAAAGCAGTCCCTGACTGACGTGTAGTTAAAGAGTGTCGAGGGTCCCTGAACACCCAGCATTTTCTATAGGGGGAACATATCCAGGATAGTCTCGGGGTACATCTGTTGTAGATCCGTGAATGCCTGTTAGTTATTTTTAGAATGCCCTTTCATTTTCAAAGTGTCCTGGCTTGCGCAATAAATCATATGGTCACCCCAGTAATCTACTGCAGCCTTGCTAAAATATGCAGCAAATTTACCTATGCACACTCGGCCCTGGGGAGGCAGCTGGGGAGTGAAATGAATGATGCTACTGCTTCCCTCTCTGCTCAGCGTGAGTGATTATCCGGGATGAGACAGTAAGGGAATGACTTTGTGTTTCTAAGGGTCTCCCTGTGCCTCTTGATCCTTTGAGGAGAGGGCTCAGGAATGTGAACCTACAGGGACAAGCCCTTTGTCGTTTGGAGGAAATGCTGCCCCTTCCTTTGCAGGAACGGTGGGAGGCCACACCATTCTTGGCTGTCCACTCCCCAAAGGTCAAAGGTGGAGGAGACTGACTGTTTGTTCAGAGAAAAAAAGAAATGGGGGAGGTACAGAGAAAAGTATCAGAAAACTTTCGTGGATTTGAAAGAATGCACTAGATGTTGAAGATGCCCAGGGCCAGTATAGGAAAGGAAACGGGGAGCGGGACATTGCAGGCAAGAAGCACCTTGAGGGAGGATGCAGAGGCAGAAATCGGTGCAGCGGGCAGGGCTGTGAGTGGGGACCGCAGGTGGTGTGGGTGTGAGAAGAAGGATTCCCGTGGGGAGATCTGGGCTGCCTAGACGGTTCGAAACCGGGAAGGTGTGGATGGCAGGATGTGCCTCCACTGCCCCCTCCCCAGAAAAAGACTCATGGATTGAAAGCAGTCTGAATCTGACTGGGCCCGAAAAGTCAAAGTAAAGCGAGATTGTTGGTAAGATAATATATGTCCGTGTTTTTCTGTGGGAACAATGAACTTCAGAGTGGCGGGAAGGAGCGCCATCTTACCAAGGAGTTGGAGGGAAACAGTAGTAGCTTTTGATCTGGAGTAATTTAAAATTTAGGGTTGGCCGAAAAGTTCGTTTGGGTTGTTCCATAACATCTTACGGAAAAACCTGAACGAACCCAATAGAAACAGAGAGGTGGACCTGGGACCCAGAGTGAAACAGGAGAAATGTCCAGGTTTCTGTTGCCCTAGAAGCCCCTGGTCGCCCTCCAGCTGCCCCTCCCCACAGTGGGTCGGGTGCCTTCCGTGATTTTGGACGGAGCCCTCAACACACTACGTTACAACTCTTGGTTTCCTCTGCCCGGGTGATGGCACCTTAGATGTGGACCCGTCTCACCCGCTTCTGTGTCCCTGGCCTCCCTACAGAGCCTGGCACATAGTAGGGGCTCTGTGGGATGTGTGATTAAAGCCACTGACTGGTAGCTGTCAAAAGCCACCAATTACTGTCCTCCTGGGCCACGCTAAGGTGGCAAATGAAACTGTGCTATGATGCTTTCGCGAGTAACCTTCACGCTCACAGCTCTCTACTCCTTTGGGTTGTTCCTGCCTCTGAACAGCTGACTGAACATATGCGGGGATGCAGGGATGCTGTAGATGCGGGAGGCCGGTGCGAAACAGGGGGTGGGCAAGAGCAAGGGCTCAGAGGGGTGCAGGGAACCCACCGGCCCCCCACCGGCCCCCCGCTGCCAGCTCTGTCTGCTCCGGGCCTCCCGCCTCTTTTCCTTACCACTAGTTGTGGATCTCCTGGCTTTCCTTTCTTTTATAAACCTGACCCTATTTGATCTCTTTGAGCCTGTTTCCCCTCGAGACTCACTACTGAGTTGATCCCAACTGTCCAGTTTCCCCTCTCATCCTTGACTCCTAAGCCCAGCCACAGGCCCTTCCCCTTTGTGCCCTTATTTCTTTGTGTTTATTTTCACCGCTAATCTATAGAGAAACAGTTGGAGGGCAGCAGATTGACAAGGATGGGGAAGACGACACAGGAGCTGGGACCTTACAGTTTTCACTCAGGGACCTCAATTTAGATTGTCTCTCTCTCCCATTAGAGATTTCACCCGAAGTCCAGTGGGCTCCCCCACGCCCCACTCTAAGAATGGGGCTCACATATTTCCCTCCTGCCCACCTATTTGTTCTGCTGACAGCCGCTAGGTTGGTTCTCTCCCCTGAGGCAGTGTAGACAGGGTTCCAGGTCACAGGCACTGGGTCAAATGGACTCCACTCCATAAATGGCCTTGTTAGATACACTGGGAAGCATCTTTAAGCCTCCGTTTCCTCCTCTGGAGAATAGAACTAGAAATAATAATGCCGCCTCCCCGGGCTATTGTGAAGATTGAACTAGATAAACCATGTTAAAGGCTCAGCAAAGCGCTGGCGCAAAGGAAATGAGAACCGATTTTATTCTAAAATCTAGGCCTAAAGAAGAAATTGAGGTCTGAATAGTACCCACAGCCACGAGTGCGCCCGTCCACTCCATGTTCCTCAAGGCTACATAGCTTTTCTAAGATGAACACTCAGGGCATTGGTTTGTCTGGTGATAGTTGTCCCCCATGGACTATGAAAATCTCAGGTGCAGGGTCTGTGTCTTATTTATTTTTCTATCCCAGTGACCAGCATATCATCTGACATTTCATCCGTATTTGATGAAAGGATGAACAAGTAATGAATGAATGGGCAATCATCTCAAGAACGTCCAGACTGGTCCTACTTTTTAAGTCTTTTTTCCCCTCAAACAGGAGCCCTGACACCCCATGTAGACCACTGTGTATCAGGCACTGTGCTGGGCTCTGAGAGTATGAAAAACAATGAGACATGGCCCTGCCCTCAAGAGGTTTAAAGAGAGGCACAGATTATCACTATAATGGTTGCCCTGTAGGAATGCTTTCATAGAGCTGGACAGAAAGTGTTGTGAAGCCCAGAGAACAAAGTGATTAATTCTTCACAATAGTCAGGGAAGGTTTACAGAGACATTGGGCCATGATGCATTCATTAGGAGTCACAGCTTTAGGAAGGTTGTGGAACAGAGTTGTCACACTCAGAAATTGGTTTGGATAAGTAGGATGAGGTTGGAGTTAAGAGGGCATTGAAAACAAGGTCAAGGCATGTGGACAGCAAACCAGTATGTCCCAAACTTTCCCAGCGAAAGAATTAATAGCAGAGGACCCTGAGTATGCATGTTTGGGGATCTGGGAACAGAGTCTAAAGCAGCCCAGCATGTTTGGAATTTCCTCTTCTGTTTTGTCCTAAAAACACATGTGAATTTTGCATCTGACAGTGTAATAGGGGCATGTGTATGTAATAGAAAAATGCTTTTCACTCCTAGACTCTAAGTAAAATCAGTGTCCCAGGAAGATGCCCTGTACACACCCCAGAGCTTTGCATATGCCTTGGCACACTAACAGCACAGTGGACCGAGTTGGAGACATTGGTGGAAGACCTCAAAGGTTCTGGAGTGAGATGTGGCCTCAGGAAAGCAGGTGCTGTGGATGGAATTCTGAGCTGTCGGTGGCATTCATGGTCCCAGGGCACAGTCATTGCCTCGGGAAGAACGGAGTCCAGTTATTGGCTTTAAGTTCCAAAAGAAGTTGTTCCAACTCAGCAGAGACAATGTTCTTAGAAGTCACGGTTTTTGATTTGCTAAAAAAGTATCACTATTTCGGAATACAGAAGGCCAGTACCTGAAGGAAGCTTTGCATAAAGCTAACACTAGAAGTTCAAAGAGCCAGGCCACCCAGTCTGCGAACCAGATAAAAAGATGCAGACCAGGAAAGGATATGTTAGAATGTGGCAGGTCCCTGAGAAGGAGCCTTGTGCCCTGCTGGGAGGGGGAGAGTGCCAGAGAGAACTCCTAGATTCGTTGGGGATACCAAGAGGTAAAGAGATTTTTGCTTACTTCTGGAGTTTGGCATGCCCCATAAATACGTGCCACGCCATGGTGGAGTGGGTGCGTGAGAGATGGCACATGGGGACCCAGGGCAGAGAGGTCCCAGGGACAGATCTGCATTTTCTGGGGCCCCAGACAAGGATATTGGAATTCTAAGAGGAATCTGACATTAGGATGGGACATCTAACCCCACCCCCATGACACATAATCTCCTTCCCAGCCCCAGACCTGAAATACGTCCAGGAGTGAAGGGGGAACAGAGAAAACACCGTATTTAACTGAATGTAAATCTGAAATTTAAAGATTTTTTTTTTTTTTGCG